ATTAATGACCGCTCCGGCCGCACTGTCTTCTTTTTCGTATGAATTACAAAATAATGACCGCATTATGACTGACACACATGATCCAAACCTCACCACAAAATATCTGAGTCGACAAAACGCAAGGACGTCTTGTATCGCTTCGGAGGTATAACGAGCACTCGATTTTGTTTGATGGTGTAAATGTTGAGGAACCGACAGCTGTTCGCCTTTTGGACATGCGAATAGAAAATGATGTTCGTTGAAAGATCTAATCAAGGCACAGAAAATACTTCATACATACACCGCATCGTATGCGCATCAATTATATCGTTTAAATTTAACCAATGTACAATTTGGATACATGGACTGCAGCTTGCAGCAGATACCACGTGGACGCGCTCGTCTGCGTGGACTCAGCGAAGCGGTCAGGTGCTCATGTGCGACGATGGCCTATTATGTATAGATGTCTGCGAAGACAAGTGTTCTGTGAATATGACAGAGATTTTTCAAATTCCTTATGCGTTCGCCGGCCGTTCCTTAACGGCAACGTCTCGCAATCTTCCCGATATGGTCACTTTTAAAACGAATCGAACACTATTACTACAAAAAATGCGTCCCGGAAAGTGTGGCCACAAAAATGCACAGACAGACAAATAAATAAATAGACTTTGTGTTTTTCGCCCAACGACAAGTGCAAAAAAACAATTCTTATCTATCCATTAATGCGTTTGCTAGTAGTAGCAGAGAGAGTCTCTGCGATTTTTGATATGGTGATGGATAAATGGCGAACATACGCGCCAAAGCGAAAACTGTTTCAATTTTCAGTTGATTTTTTTTTTGTTTTGGCATTTTTTAACAACAAATGAATTCTATTCAGGTTGATTCCATTCCCTGCATTGGATTATTTATTTATTTCGATTGTGATGTGTTACGATTGTGGTCATAATAATATTTATTCATGCAAGACAACGATCAAGATCATGAAAATCGAAACACGGAGGCTGTTTCTTTTCAAATTACGTGTCAGTCTGTTGATTGTGGTTGGAAAAAAAAAAAAAAAAAAAAAAGAAACAGAAAATGCGGTTACTAAAATATATTAAAGTGTAATTAAGTCGGAGAAATAATGAAAAACTAAACGAGTTGTGTTAAATAATTTTGTTTTGTTTTTTTTTTTTTTTTTTTTTATCACTTGACATTCATTTCGATCGAAAAATTGCATAATAGAGATTACCAGTCGGCCACGATGATCGATAACGAACTGACTGAATATTGTTTAGATGTTTCAAAACGTTTCTTCAGAGTATAATGAACTCTGCTAAGCATCTGCAAAATCTCCGCAAATCGCAACAAGCAAATGCTTTTTAGCCTCATTAACATACAACAAGTACATAAATATATATATATATATATATATATATATATGTGCCTATGTGACAAAGGAAAAGAAAATTGCTAGAAAATAGCACACGCATGCATAAAAAAAGCGCACGCAAAGTAAGAGTGTTTAAAACGAACACCGGACTAGATGCACTAGTTTAGTAGGACTCGTTTACTTCCCCATATATTACAACTACATTTTCAAGAAGAAAACTTCTCTAATCCTTTGTTTCTTGATTTTAGGAAAAATTTCACGCCATAAAATGTCATGATTTCGTCCAATGGTAAAAAGTAACAAAGCCATACAGTTTGTTAACCAAAACAACAAAACTCAACAAATGCCTGTTTAATCATCATGCAAGACATCAAAAAAAAAAAAAAAAAATACAAAAAAAAATACAAAAAAAAAATACAAAATACGATAGCTAAAGCCAGTTGCGAAATCATTTCAACTTGTGGTTACATATATATTTGCGATTTCAGTTAGTGTGGACGAATGCCTACACATAGTAACCGCATTTACTGCAAACACTGATTGCCACTGTGCCAAACCAACAAACAATTCAAATTTTAATGTCATTTTATGCATATGAAAAGCAACATTGTTGTTGTTGTTGCGTCGGTTGTTCTTGCTACACTCATTGTGTTTGGTTGCTTGCTAAGCTGGATGCGTGCGCTTGATGTGTTGATTACAACTTACGTTCGACTGTGGCGAACTTTTCAAAATCAATCTCGATTACTTTCGTATTTGCATGTATGACCTCTTATGGGAAAATAAGACGAAGGCTCACAATAAACGCTTCCCGGTTTGCCCTTGGATTCACATAACTATATAAATTAAATTTTCCGAACGTTTCCAACGCCTGGAAAAGTAAGATCCGTTCAAATAAATATGGATGTAATCCGGCTTAACTTTAAGAATTAGCGGAATCGAAAATCGATCGACATATGTATGGCATTTGTCCTTGGAAATCACTCTTACAACCTTGGAATTTGTTCTCCATAAATTTCCTCACGGAATGAGTGAATCTTTAATCTAAATTGCGCTTAAGCATTCTATCTCAATTACTGATGAGTGCCAGATTTGGTTCAAAGAGAGAGAGAGAGAGAGAGAGAGCGAAAGAGAGAGAGAGAGAGAGAGTATGAAAAGTTCCCAATATCAAAATGACTTTTATAAGTAAACATTGGCCGGCCGTGAGTGAACTTATTCCGTTTTACATTTTCGATGGTCACTTTTATAAGTTATAACCCATTCAACCCTGTGTACTTTTACCTTATCCTCATACTCTTAGCTTTTTCTTCAACTTATTGTTAAGTTGTCAAGTTTTACTATCGCACTGCTGTATTACATTGTAGGGTATTCTATAATATTTAGTGATTACAGTACTGTGACGTCATTGTATATCATTCAGATTGATTTACTTACATCCTAGGTTTGGCTTATTTATTATTGAGTTAGTCCTGTTTCGTAAAATTCGTTTAGGTCATTTCGCTCTACCGTCTGTCTTTGTCGGTTATGCCACGGGATGCGAATCATAGAGCTTATTGTCTCCAAACATGTTATGAATTGTCAAAGTATTTGGATGTGGACTGTGGAGTCTTCTTGAGGGTAATGCGTTCGATACTTTTGCTCTTAGTGGAACTTGGCTAAGAGGCAATATCTTTAATTTTTCCGTCGTAGAGGTGGTCTCTGAAAATTCTCTTTCTGTTGGTGGATAAAGTGTTCAAGATAATAATTTAATTTAATCAACTTCTCTTATTGATTACTTTCGCCCAAAGGAGAATCTTCCGTTGGTTCAGTGTGATCAGACGTGCATCTCTTTGATCGAACTTTCATTTTTATCATAGGCTCAGCTCAGCTCGCTACTGGAAGGTGTTTAATAGAGAGACCTAAATTCACCTGCCGCTGTCAGGCGATGACTACAGGGGTTCGTAATAGAGCAACATGATTACTTGAGTAGTCGTTAGTTCTTTCCCGACCCATGACTTATAACTAATGAACACATTCAGCTAAGGTTTTATAGTTCTTTATAAATTTTCAAAAAAAAAAAAATAAATAAATAAATAAAACGTGAATACTTAATTATAATAGAGGCAAAATAGTCCTAGCCGACGAACATACCACACAACAATTCTCACACATCGTTGGTCATCAGTATCGAAAATTTATATTAAGATCCTCGGCAAGATTTGCTTTTGCCTTTGGGTGATTAAATATGCTTTCGAGAAAGCATTAAACTCTTGAAACATCGATAAATGTTTTGGATTCAATTACACACTTCAAGTAAAGTATTCATCGGCTGCAAAATATATTCAACAGAAAAGCATATACATGACCAGAAGCAGCTATTGTTTATATCAATTCGAAATATCGAAGAAATTTTCTTTCTAACAAATCTTTTACATATAGGAACATATATAGGGACACCAAATTATACAAATACACTCGAAATTGGTTAACTTAATCGAATATTCAGAGAGCAAATATGGTTGCACCTCATATAATATTAAAGAAATATGTATAAAATGGATATTGAAGAGGGAAAAAATAAATAAGTACAAATATTATTATTATTATTAATATAATTATTATTAATTAAGCCAGAGAAATAAATTATGAGACTAAGGTCTTAAAGCGCTAGCTTCTAAAGCTGTTGGCCTTGAGATACGAACGCACGATCATTGAGTTGCTAGTCGAGATTCTTTGCCTTCGGCCACTCAGGCATCATGAATAGAAGTATGTTTTGAGTTGACCCATGGGTAAAACAACGGATTTAGACAATTTGTTTTTTTTTTTTTTTTATTATTATACGAATGCGCACAACTCAATACAAGCATAGAAAAGCATGGGCAATACAAAGGATGCCAGGCCGACCACCATATCTACAACAATACCTGTAACGAAGACAGTTTCTCGCGCATTGAGCTAACTGTAAATAGTCAATAGGTGGTCTTTTTAATGTATGGTCACGATAAGGTTTTCATAACTGCTTTCGTCTCTTACTCAGGCTCAAGGGTTCGTTCGTTTTTTATGCACGCTAAGCATCGCATACACCTACACCATAACGATAGTAAATAGACAAAGTCCTGAAATTTCATTTAAGTTTAGCAATTCTCCTTCTTCTTACTATCCTCCACTATCGCAACTACCAATGCAATAATGAAATTGAAGTCATTGAAATTTACTGACTTTAAAACAATGGCATTGCTGTAGATGGGTGCAATAGAGTTTTGATGGGTTAGTGCTTCATTATACACCGTAGGAGGATGACTAGGAGGCTAAACGTAACATAACTTTAGTTTAGATTTTAAAGTAGACTGTTTTCCCTTTGTCGCGGTATATTCAAACACACATCATGCACGAAGTAATATTAAACTAATCTCAGTTGAAATTGCAACATCTTACTCTATGAGACTTTAATTAAGTATCAGCAAAGTGATGAAACAACAAAAACACCACGTAACAGTTACGAAGTTAAAAATCAAAAACGAATAAACGAACAAAGCGCCGTTGAAAATAGATGCAAATCCCCTCCTGAATATTGCAACATGGCGCAAACGATTAATAAATCTTACGTATCCTTTATGGATATGGAGCGCGTAATAACTGAAGCTAGTTTAAGGCATATTTGATTCTTACTTACCTCGCATACTTCTCTCTAGTTCTTTGCTCTTCTTCTTGCCTATATCGTCTTTAATGTGATCCACTTTCTCTTCCACTTTACATCTTTTCATATCGTTTGATTCGGCACCGCTTTTCACTGACTCAATAGCAGGTGAACATGATACGATTCCCATATTAATGCCCTTATCCGTGCTGATCGGGCCGTCGGGCAAATGAACTGTTTCTGACAATTCAACCGAAGACTTTTGTATTAATGTCGGCGCCAAAACCTCTGCTGACGAATTGGAGGCGTTTATATTGGCTATGGACAGATCTTCACTAGCCAAAATTAAGTCTGATTTATCATCCTTCTCCTCTCCAGATGACCCTAGTAAATTGTGTTCAACACCAACTATAATACGTTCCATCGGTATTGGTGTAGCGCTATTTCCATCGCATTTGCATGCATTTTCATTATTATCCAAGGAACCTCTCCGTTTAGGTACAGGCTTGTGTGTCTCACGCTTTTGCGGTACGGGTGGCTTAGGCCTAATAGCTGGCTTGGTTCTGTTTTGCAGTACAGCAACTGCTGTATCCTCGTCCGAGCTCTCCATTGGGACAGATTTTACAGATTTCCTTGATTTAGTCAAGCGATTAGCAGTTTTAGACAGAGATTTGCTAAGCTCTTCGTTTGCTTCCTCTTCTGCCGCTGAAGGCGATAAAATTTTTTTGTGCAAAAAATAAGAACATTCATGTCCTTCATTAAAAATATTTTCAGAAGCTGTTTGTCCTCCGTCCGTTGAACTTTCTGTCTGCACCTGCATCTGATCGTCATCTGAACTCTTTTCATCTGCTTGTTTATCAACAGCTTGGGTAGAGTTTTCATCTATAGCATCTTTGTCGTTGTACTCAGTTTTTGAGTGCGTTGACCCGATCCTCTCATCAATAATTTTAATAATTTCATTTCCCTTGCCGTCTTCTACTCGTTGTGTAGTTTCTTCCCTACCCGTTTCCCCCAGATCGAAACCGGTTTCTTCATCTGCAAAAGTTCGTATTTCGTTTTGATATAACTTTTCTGCTTCTTTTCTCACTTTTTGGTAGCTTTCAATTAATTTTTGTGCTTCCATTTCCAAGCGTTTCTCTTCCTCAGTTTTTTTAACTAATTTCGGACCCTTCTTCGATATTATATCTTTCGTTGTTTCTAGGCGTTTTGTAGTTTGTTTTTCGCTGCTTTTGACAATAGAAGTCTCATTAAGCTCCCTAACCAGAGTGGTTTCCTCACCACATACAATCCTATCATCGGTTTTATTGGGAACTTGTTGCGAATCCTCACGAAATTCTTCTACGTACTGATCACATTCTACAAGCTCGAGGCCTTCGCTGTCACTCGCTTGCAATTGGTCACCACACCCCGATAAGTTCAAAATACCTCCAACAATATTTTGTTTATCCGGTGGATTTAAAGCCTCTTCCGATAGACGTGTTTCCGCTTGAGCGGTAATAGTTATCGGCCGTTCATCTCGTTTTATCATGAACTCCTCATTACTCATCTCTTGCTCCTGCTTAAATGGCATCTTTATTTTGATGTCTTCCTTTTGAATTTCTGCGTATTTTTCTACGCTTTCGTCACCAGTAGCATCACTGATGCAAATTTCTGTATAAATTTGTTTTTTATCCGTTTCACAAGTCCATTCTGCTGCTATAGTATCTCTACTACCAATAACACGTTCAACATAAGGCTGCAGAGTGAAGGCAACGGGTTCCATGGACTTTTCAAAATCTACCGGTAATTTTTGTAAAGAACCGGATAATTCCGAAGATGGTGCATTTTCAGTAATCTGAGTGGAGGTTCCAGCTGATCTAATCATCTGTTTCGTAGAACAAGCGGCAACGCCCGTTTGTTCGGTTTTTTTTATTATCGATTGATAGCTATGCACATTCTTCACTTCTGTTACGACTTCTTTTGACGTAATGCAATGCTCATCTGACAATTGGTGGTATGTGGGCACACAAACTTTTTCACCGCAACATTTTTCTTCTTGTGCTAATTTTTCCTTGCCAGCACTTGATTCTTCAGGTTTCGTGGTTGCAATTGCATTTGCTGTTGTTGTTGTTGTTGTTGTTATTGTTTGTATTGTATTTTGTGTCCCTGCCATCTCATTAATTTGTTCGTTTTCGTTATCATCCATTGTTTTCGTTATCTTATCCGAGCAAGTAGTATCCAAAATAATTACTTTTAATTCACTATCGGCTTTCGGTTCTTTTACGTCTTCATTTTCAATATCTTTCGAAGATTTTTTCAACTTTTCCAATTCAGTTTGTGGCACTGTGGGTGGCACTACTGGTACACCCATCGACTTTTTAACCTTCGATATAGTTTGAACTAATGGTTGTGTTACTACGTCTTCAATCATTTTTATATCATGCGCTTTCAACGATTTCTGATGACTCAAATCGTCCACAATCACTCTCGGTCTGTAAAAGTTAAAAACAATAATTAATTTGCTAAATTTTTTCAATTATGCTATGATATGAATAATCACCTCGTCACAAAATCGTAAAGCGCAAAGTTAAATTTATAACCTCAGTCGAATGTCGGAAAGAGCTATACTAACGCGTTTACATGATATCTTGCGAACAAAAGCACTTGCAAATTTGTTGTTGTTGCTTTTTTTTAACTGCCGTTGACTATTCTCTGTTGATTGCCGTATTGTGAATTTTCAAATTCAATTACCTTACATTCGGTATTTCAGTGACCGTAGATTGGCATGAAAGGAAGTTAATTACAATGATATCTAAACTTCGTTCAAGGATGACATCCCTTGGCTACCTACGCACTCTCAAATACTGTATTTCTTCGTCTTATACACCTTCTGGGAGGGGGAGGAGAAGTATTCTACATTTCCCAATATAATAATAATAAATTATGTATATTCTGTTTTCCTTCACTTAAAAGATCAATCGATCCAAACTAGTAGGATATCGGTTTAAAATTCTGCGTGCCGTCCTTATGGGTATTTGCCCACAGTTGGCAAAAAATACATCCTTTTGATTTTTCCTGGATGCTTCGTACAAAATATCGTCTAGATCTCTGTCCTCAGTCAAGATCGGAAAGCCAAGTCCGCACAGGAGCTTATAACAGATGAGGTATTTCTTCTTTCATAAAAAGAGAGACTTGCTTTTCAACATTCGAGAGGAAATGAGTTTCGGAAAATTACATAACGTATCCTCCACCCATTGCTGTTCACCCATCAGAGAGATTTATCCTTCGTATTAAGCAGTTAAGGTAACGTTTTCCTCATTTTTTTCTCTTTTTCACAAACCTTGACCTATTCAAAGCTACAGAAAGGTATTTTATGTACTTGATCGGCATAATTTATACGGTTATGTACCTGGCACTTGGCAAATCTAGTTCTTAATTGACTTTGTTTAATACGAAATTACTTTTCGGTCATTTAGTTAATTCTATGCCATAACAAATGAATTAAATTAATTTGCTGTTTTTATAGCGCCACTTGCATATTCGAAATATTTAACTCATTTTCTCTTATCTGGATTTTTTCACCCACCACATCGACTTTCCCTTTTCTTTAAATTTTTTGCTTCAATATCTTATCAATTCTTTCGTTTCTTCTCTCATCCTCTCCCACTTTTTTCGCACTTGTCGCGCCATCATTTTTAATCAGTTATCAGTTACGTGTGCCTATCTGAGAGCACTGGCCACCTGTTCTTGTGCTATATGAATGCTTGATATAGAGAAAAGCCAAACACTGGCAAATGTGTGTGTGTGTGTAACGCACAGACATGAATATTGCAGATTCCCGAAAGTATGCATGTGTTCTATATGAGCGTGGAAAGGCAAAATTATTTTTGCCATATTGTCCATATTTTATCGCTTTCACCAACTTGGGTGGGCAAATCCGATAAATCGGTCCATATTTTATGGTTAAGCGAAAAGCGTGATGATTTTTTCTACGTAATTAAGCTTTAAATTTGATCTTACATTTTTCGTAAAACTCCTATGTGAAGTTACATATATATGTATAAGATAAGAGGACGGGTATGCAAAAGTTTGTTTTTCGTCTAAAGCTACTGTAATTTTTTCTTGTTTCTATCTGCCACGAGAAATAATGTCAACAAATAATGTCAATATAATATAATATATATGTATATATATATATATATATATATATTCAATTGAATTGTTTATTACTTACCCGTTAGTTAAAGACTGATGTTCAAGGGAAGAATTTTCCTCTTCCACTTCGCCAATAGTTGGTAACATATTTGTGTGCCAATATAAATTAAAATAGGCCTCGGAAGGTCCAGGTCCATTAATTAATTCTGGTGGTCCCAATTTCTCACCATCCTCGCAAACGTAGTCTTTGTCCTCATCGAAATCATTGGTTTCTATCGGTTCCTCGTCTTCGCTACTTGAACTAGAGTAATACAGAGGAGTATTGGATTCTTCGATTTTCTTACATTTACCCACCACCACCAGAAGAGGAGGTGTCGTACACTCTAAATCATCGCTTCTATTTGCTTGCTCTTCGTCAATACACTCAGGAGATGCTGGCTTCAAATCTCTGCTGTCATTGTCCTCTCGGCGCTGTGAAGCCGGACTATTGCGGCGCACTAATTCGAACAAACTGGGCATTTCCTCGTTACTTTTGAAAACATTTGAGGCACTTAAAAAGTCCGCCTGACTTTTACTCTCGTACGTTTGTATTTTAAAACGTATTTCCCGATTCGGGTTAACTGAAATTATTGACTGTTCGCTGATTTGTGTTTGACTCAGAATTCCTGGATGTTGTTTAAAAGTTTGCATAGCAGGCGTGTCGACGATGGGAACGCCATTCAAAGCTGCTCTATCGACTACGGTCACAGTGGTCACGTTCTCGTCACCACCAATTGATGTAATAGTAGGTTTTGGTATTTGTGTTTTCTGTAATGATTGAACTCTCTCTGGTGGTTTGGGCTTAGGGCCCCTAATCTTGTTACCAGATGCAGCAGAATTTAAAAATTCGGAGGACGACGATGACATAGCTTTCAGATTGCTATTCTGGCTTAGAATCGGTATACCCGTGCGCTCGGGACTCTTGCATTTGGACTCCGCTGAGGCAGCTCGCTGCAAAGGTAGTTTTGAAGCAATTACGGGACTAGATTCCTTCGATTTGCTTTGATAATAACCCAATTTAAGATCGGTTTCTGATTTCTGCTTGGTCAACAAGCGCGGTATATTTGTAGGAGATGTTTTACTCGATCTTTTTTCATTAATGAGATCATTTTCCCATGATTTTTTCGGGATCAATATTACAGGTATGCGAGATTTATTCGGGGATGCTAACTTACTCTGACATATTGACTCTCTCTCGATAAAACTGGACGTTTGAAGTTTGACTTTTTCAAGCTTACTTTCCGTCCTCAGTTTTATCTCACTTTCTGTCTTGGATCGTTCCAAAAACTTTGGCGAATTTATGGCTTTTGGTATTTTTGTAACAAAATCCCTACTCGAAGACGAAGAGTCATTTAATGGAGCGATTGATGCATTAACTATCGCACCGTCTGGTACTTTTGGGGGCGGGACTTCTATAGCCATTTTAAAACTTGCATTGAATTTCCTGGGCATTGGAATTATAGATCGTTTCTTCGGCTCTATGGGTGTTGTCATCTGTCTGGGCTTGGGTGTAGGTGTTGAAATTTTCACATCACCTTCGGCTTGTTCATTTGACTTATTGTCGCTTCTCTCTTGCGTTTTTAATTCTATTATGTTTTCATACGTATTAATTTTTTCCGACTTGGATTCCAAGTTCTCGTAATTATTGCTCGATACAAGTGTAATAGAAGATAATAATATTTCTTCGGCCTGGGGTGTTATTACTTCTTTAAAGCATTCTTCCAAGGAATGATTGTTAGACTGCACGTCAAAATCATTTTCGAGTAAAGTAAAAGGTTTCAATACCTTGGCCAGTTCCGACTTATTGATCACCACTGCCGGTCCGTTTGTTAATGAAGCGAAACTTGATAGATCCGATTCTGAGGAGTTTGAGTTCATAGAAAAGCGGTCAATTACTGTGGAAATAGTGCTGGCAGTATCATCCGATTCCGATTCATTAGTGGCATTGCGCAGCACTGATTGATGAACCGAATGATGAGAGTTGATCGAGTCCGCAAACAAATTTACGTAATATTCTGCGTCGGGCGGTGGTGTAAAAGACTTCTCACTACATAATGATATACCGCCTTCGGGGGAGTCAGGTTGAGCATTTCTATTGTTGGGTATATCTATAGCTTGTATATCTCTTGAGGCTTTAAGTTTTTTAATTAACTTTCTAGGTGGTATGGGTGGTGGAGGGGGCGGTGCGACACGCATTTGCAAACTTGGTTTGCCTAAATTATACGATTTCGCTGAAGTGCTTGTACATCCATTGTCCAAATCTTCTTCGATGCCTGCAGGCTTCTGACCTTTACCATTACGTACCAGCAACTTTATGGCTACATTATCTTTTAAACACTTCACGCATTCAATGCGTGTCATGTCACAGACCGAACGACTATCGATGCTGATGATTTCATCGCCTTCTCTTAATATACCCCAAGATGTGGCGACTTTTGATGCTGGACTATCCTTAGCACATGATTGTATGAATAACTTTTGCACCTTTTCCAAATTTTTTGTGCCACCTTGAAATTTTAAACCGAAACCTAAACGTTCACCTGGTAAACGATATACAACGACTGTTTCCACTTCTTCTTCTTTTTCACTTTTATGCTCGTGGTTAATGTCTAAGCCTTGTTTTTGTTGCCGATGGCTGCCAGTGTTGTTAATCGATAATACAGTAACAAATGTAGAATTTCGAGTCGATAATGCGGTAGTTGTTGTTGTCGTTAATTTTTCACATAATTTGTCATTGCTTTTATTTGAAAGATTATCGACTTCAACAACAGTCACAAAATCAGCCATGGTGTTTAACTGCGTTTAGTCAAGTCAGCAACCGTATTAAGGTTAACTAAAGTCGGCAATCAACATACAGATGACGCTGAATTAAAAAAGCTTCCACCTATGTGCGATATAAACTGTAAGAAGAGAAAAGCAAAACAGAAGCAAATGAATTTAATTAAATGAACTTTTTTAATTATTAAAACTAATATATGAACGAAAATTAATATACAAGCGAATAATGGCGATCTCTGCCCATTCTCACCCGAATGCAAGCAACAATGCGTTTTTGTGAATAACAACCCTGTTCGAAAAAAAAAACACTATTTGTATATAGGTATTTTGTTTTTATAAAGCTGACATTGTGCTTTTTTGTTGTTGCATTTGGCGCACATTTTTAATTGATGTTATCATCATTTTTATACAATCTCTTATATATATAACAACTGTTAATGCTATTAATATTATTGTTGTTATTATTAATTAATCTTTAAAATTCGCTTTTTTAATATAAATAAAATTATTATTTACTATGATGAGAAATTTCTTTTGGAAAGCAAGTGATGATAAGCGAATTCAATTTATTTTCCTTTTGTTTTATTTCGAAGCTAAAAAAAAAAGAGATAATAGAATCAGCTATGGTGAATGGCAAGAAGACCTTACCTTAGAAACCCTTTAGAAACCAAAATTATTGACTTTGATAAATTCATTGAATTAATTATTAATCATTTTAATTTCTATGCGTGTTTATGCGTAAAATTTTCGGTTTACCATTGTCTTAATTTTATTAGATTATAAGAGAAAATATCATAACATACTTGTGCGCAAAGCTTTTGTCTTATGTCTTGTCTCTTTTGTGTCTTTCGGTCTTGTTCTGTGTCTTCAATACTTTTGTAAATTTGTTTTAGCTCATGGTTAACCGCAATATCAAATATCAATTTTTCATTTTGCACTGACACCGAAGAGGGGGTAGTCTCTTGTTCTTTTTAGGTGGGCGGAGGGAGGATGTAAGCTACCATTAACTTGTTATAAGACTAAACCAGCATCGTACGGTATGTGTGTCAACGACAAAGTGATTGTCAGCAAACAAGCTTTTAAGAAACAAGTTAAAAAAAAATAAATAAAATAAACAGTTAAGCAGTTAAAGTTTAAAACATTGGCGTTAATTTTGCCGCTGTAAAACAAGATAATTTTTTTTATTATGAAAAAACAAAATTAAAATGAACATAAAAATAGAAATAGAAATAGAAATATAGACGTTATTTACAGCGCCCGAAACGAACATACACCGGAATCCATAAGACAAGGCTCAAAACTAGTTTATTGAACAAAAATTCAATAAATAAAGAATTTAGTTAAAAAAGTCTTATCAACATTAAGTTTCATTATTTATTATTTTACTATGCGTTCATCTATTGATTGAAAAGTTTATCGATTTATTCGATCACTTGTTGTCATACATTTATGCATCGTATATAGGACCTTTCAATGGAAGATGTCATTTTGAATTAGTTATGCAATAGGGCTACGAATTGTTTGACAAATGGCATAAGCCTACCGATCAAAAACAGTCCGCCAAAGTTTTCCCCCCTTGTGCATCCATTCATTGCATACCCTGGTCGATATCGTAGTACTTTCAAATAGAAAAAATTCTTCGACTAATGCTTTTGATTTTTCGGAGACCCGAGATATAGCACTTGTACTAGCTGACTGCTATGTATAAGAAAAACTCGCTAATTATACAAACCGCTGTGGGCGGGAAGGATGAGTGAAATACTAATTATACATAAACATATACACAACACCCCATAAAATGTATACGTTTTTGATCAGTATCATCACATTCTGAATCGATTTAAGTATGTCCCTCTGTCCATCTGTGTCATATCTATGGTAAACATTCACGCGATTGCAACAAATAAAAGATGGACTTCAAATTTGTGCACAAATCATGGAAATATCTTGCTGTCGGCAGCTTGGACGGCGGACATGATGCAAATTATATCTCAGCGCTTGCGGATATCGATTGAGAAACCATAGGCAATAATCAGCGATATTAAAATCGATGTCTATTGGCACACGGTGACCGGCCGCGTATATAAATCTCCTCCGGCAAATAAAAAAACTAAGTAAGTAATAATTATTGCTAATTAAAAATTTTGCAAATTTTTACAACTTTTTTGCCTCTAAGATTGTGTTTGCAATGTGTTCCTCCGTTAAGGTTGACTGTAAGCTGACTGTTACCTGTCGTATATTAAAAAGCAAATCCAGAAGAAATTTTTTTTTTCTTCTTATTTTTTTTGAATTTTGCAAAAAAAACAACTCTAAGAGATCTCCTTACTGGTTTTCACTTTTGCGAATTGCAGTTACTTTGCATGTGTGCATCTGCTCGTTTATGAGTAGATGATACGGAGTGTGGTGTTTGTGTAAGATTTCGGTAAAGATTTGCTTCATAGACGTTTATATTAAGACTTTACATTGAATGGCATTTCTTTAAAATGATTTTTTTTTTTTCATTTATTTGACAGAGGGTTTGCATTTTCTTTTTTAAGCACACACCTTTACATAACACTATCTCCACGTAACGAACGAACGAACGAACGAACGAACGAACGATTATTTTGCTATTGAAGCAAGGTGCGGGTGTACCGCCGAGGCGATAAAAAGTGACAAATACTTTTCAAAATACAAAAACAAGTTTGAACGAATGCGTAAGATGCGTGCACAACGGGAAATGTCTAAATTACATAAAAATAGCGTAAATTTTTGAAAAAACCTGAAATCTAATTTCTTAAGCATCATCTTAAGCATCTCGTAGTAAAATTAACTTTAATGAAATGATATCAGCCAGTGCTTTACACTTTCTTTCTTATGCCGCATGGCACCTAAGCAGTAATTGATAATAAGATCTCATTGAAGAGATTTGGATAAAAAAACGGGAAGCAAATAATAAACATCTACTGATTTTGCGGTGCAACTATATATATATATATATAATTTGCCGATTATTCTCCTACTTTGCATTGATTGTTTGTAAAAAAAAATTATATTCAATTGATGAAAGCATTTTAAAGTCTTCCCTCCTCTCTCCGATTATGCTTTCATCATTCATCCATTGTGCAGTTCCAAAGTTGATTTACCATTGGAATGCGACGGTAAATTCCAGCGTTTACTTTCCCTGAGAGCTTCAACAACATTCAAAAGAACAAAACACACAAAAGGGATATAGTTGTGTTCTTTCTTCCCTGCGAAAAGGAAAAGGACGATCGATGTAGATGGTATGCTTCACACTTCTGCAATGAAGAGGATCTCTACAGACATAGATAGAATCTACTACTACTCGCAACCGCAATTTATCGTAGCTGGGATGCATGCGTATCGTATCCGGTTTGAAGTTTGAAGCATGCTGAGGAAATCTAAAGGCTGCGCACTAGATTGCACTCATATACACATACATATGAGTAGCTTTGCCACAGAATCGATGTTTTTGTTGGTTTAACGTGTTGGATGCACTAACTTGTCGATTTAACGCCACGGTGCTCGAGGACACACGGGTTAATTTTGCGTAACCGGCGCCCTCCACAAATTCAGAAAAAATCCCTATAAGCTAACGGCCTAAGCTAACTACACTGCATATATATTTATTTATGTGTACGACTCAATAAATTTACTCGGGAGAGTGTTGAGGCCTATCATTAAACGGCACAGAAAAAAAGCCTCAAATTTGAACAATTTGTTAAAGTGCGGAAATGCGTTACGCTTTCTCACAGAATTGTACACATGCGGTTGCTGCCTGCTGCCTGCTGCCTGCTGCCTGCTGCCTGCTGCATTGCCGCTGCTTGATTTTAGTGGATGGAAATGCAACTCAAATGCAATTCTCAACCGGAAATAAGTCCTCTATTCGATAAGCAACGCTTTATAAATGCTTACAACAGGTGCAAGTGCACAAGAACGCCTAATATTTACGTCTTACGCTTGTTTCCTTTCACCCTCGCATTCGTCCTTTCTTCTAATTATGCTTAGAGCAATTCATTGATTTAACTGAGATTGCGCTTACTTTTATTCCTTATTCCTTAAGCTATCATATGAAGGCAGGATTTGACCAAGCAATCGCTTATAATTCGTGTGAGACGCCATTTATATCTCATTTCATAGTTTTTGTATGTATTCATGTAACCCAATACCAAAAACATTGACAATTGCACCTAAACGTCTATAATTTTGTCTCCAGTAGTAGTAGTAGTAGTAGTAGGGTCAATATTTTTTAATTTTGTGATGAATTCGAGTTGATTCGATTATTTTCCGTAAGGCATTCAACTGCATTTTTCGTTTTTCTTGGGTATGGAAATATGAAGAGAAATGCAGAAAATTATTATTTCAGATTATTGTCCACCACTACCCATTCACTCCCTCTCGCCTAATCTTTCAGAGAGAATAGAAATCCTGCTAGCACGGACAATAAGTCATCGCCTGTAGTAAGCCTTAATAATAAGAAAAACGGCTAACGCGTGCTCATAACAGCAGAGAACATAGCGCATTCCAGATTAGTACTGAGAAGGAATTACTGTTCAATCCTTACTATATGAGATCAAATTTGCTATAAGTCACTTGGTGTTATAGCAATAGCTCTGGCTGTATGGTCCCCACTGGTCAACATCTGATAGAGTTATTGTTTTCTTCAATGAATTATTTCATCATAATTTACAATTTTTCTGTTTTTTTTTTTTTCTGCTATTTATTTATTTATACATAAACTATTATTTAATTATTATTTTTTTATTTATTTATTTTTTTTTTTTCTTTACTTCTCCTTATATACTTTATACTAGTTTTTAATATTAATTGATTGAGTTTCATGTTTAAGTAAATAAAATAAATAAATATCAAAAATAAAGTAAAAAAAAAACTGAATTGATATTGAAAATGATTCAAATAATTCATAAGACACTGAGCATACATTGCAACATACACTGAGAACATCTCAGTTTGAAAAGTAGGAGCAAAGTGAACTTGCACAAGAATGGAAAATCGCCGTCCAAGCCCACCCAATATTAGATGATATTAAAATTTTATTCTTTTTTCAAAACGTCTGCAATGTGCAGAAAGACTCTGTAAGGTACACATATACAGTAAGGAATGCACTGAGTCCGTCTAGGCGTATTTGTCCTTCTAGTTTTTCGTTTCTGTGGTTTTGTGTGTGGTAGAAATCGGTGAAAGGGCACGTCCAAAGTCAAAGAAAGTGAACCGAGAACGCCTTCGCTTATCACTCATAATATAAAATGAAGATAGCGATATGAGTTTGCACGAGCTTGTTGCATGGGCGGTGATCCTATAATATCTCTGCAAAAATTGAAAAAACTCCGTCACACTTGTTAGTTTTTTTTTTTTTTTTTGCAGTGAAAAGATGGCGAGCATAAAAAGTATTGCACGTGCACAGTTCAATATCATTTTCTTCTGTCTATAAGAACAAAATAAGTGAAAACGGTCTGTATTTACACTGGCTATAAAAACTTCATAAATTTATATTCATTAGACCCGAAAGCTTAGTGGTCTCTTTCGAAAGGCAACTAAATCTGCCGAAGAGCTATTTAAATGACAAGTGAGAAAAAGAAGAAGAAGAAGAAACGAAGAAGTGACATTACACTGTTTTCTATCGCTAGACAATCGCCGGTGGGATTTCGAATCACAGGCAGGGCATTATTGAATTTAATTGATTCTTTCACATGTTTCATCCGACTCGTCTGCAATCCCTGGAGAATTTAATGCCGACATATTAATCGGATCTGTTGTCAGGTTGGGCGAGCTCGCCCTTAATTATGGCCAAATTAGTTATAAAATTTTTGCCTCGTTTTGTGTTTTCTTTTATCTTTTACAATCCGCCACAACAATAGTGTAAGGAGGAGAAAGCAAATGTTTTAGCAGTTTTGATAGATTGCCGGCCTCAAATTAATGACATGAATAAAGATTTTATTGTTAATGTATTTGCACAAAGCTGTTTTAATAGTCGTGATGGGAAAACCATCATATTTAGATCATCAAATTGTGGGGCGTTTTGGTTTAATGAAATGCTTAAGAATAAAAAACTATCCCAAAAAAAAAAAAAATATATATATATATATATATATATATATATATATATAAATTTGTAAAGAAGTCCAACAAAAGCAACCTTAAATAAAATACAAGACGAGGAGACTTTAAAAATCGAAGAAAAAGATTTTACGAGATAGATAGCAAAGATACATATTTAATATGTTCGAGTCTGTTTTGAACAAAGAAACAAGAGAAATATTTGACTTTCAAATGTGAAGTCATCTCGGATGTTCTTTCAGTTTGTTAAATTTTTAATTATTGGTTCATGTGAAGTATATTAGTATAAGAACCGAATGTGAAGAGCTTTTCTTTGTCAGTAGCGGTCAAATTATAAATGTGTAAACAACTTGTTGCGCGAAATTGTCTTGAAACGTGTATTAACCACAGAAGATGGCACACATTCTTTCCATTGTAATATTCGTACATTTTGCAATGTTTAATTGCCTAAAAGAGACAAGGGTAAATGAGTTGTGAGTTGTGCTAATTAAGAGGAAAGGATTTTAAAAATTATATGATAGTTTCAAGGTTATCAGTACGGTAGGCCACCGTCACGCATTTTAGGAGCGAATTCTACAACAACAGTCTTACTGCCAAACGGGATACATAAACAGCAAGCAATTGCAAGCCATCTTTTAGGCGAAGCGCCAGCGTACGATGAGCATCGAAATAAAACTTTCGTAGGCAACCCATGCGCGGAATGCGGTAAACACAATTCTATTTTTTTTTATCTTGACAATAGAATTACGTGGCTTTTACGCTTTTCTTTTTTTACTTCATGAAAAGCTTGTGGCATTCCTAACGTTAATCGTATAGTGGGTGGCGATAAAGTGCGAAACCACAAGTATCCATGGATAGCTCAGTTAGTGAAAGGTTCCACTCAGTTTTGCGGCGCCAGTGTTATTAATGATCGTTACCTCTTGACTGCAGCGCATTGCGTCCCGTCTAAAAAGAACATTTATATACGTTTATTAAAATTGGATAAAAATTCCCGGCAAGACGGCATTATAAGAAGAGTGTCATCAGTTCACGTGCATCGCAGCTTCAGTCACGCCACTTTGCAGAATGACATAGCTCTATTAAAATTGGAGACGCCGTTGCTCTTCAAAAAGCAACTGAGACCGGTTTGCTTGCCTTCCAGTTCGGAGCAGAATTTCGATTTTAGACAGGTTTTTTTAATCAGATCATGCGATCATTTCGAAAACACGAAATTGTTATAAAAATTTTAGGGAATTGTTGCTGGTTGGGGTTTAAAATCCGAGGACGGTCTACCTTCTAATTACCTGCAAGAAGTTACGGTACCGATTATCACGAATAGTCAATGCCGAGCCACTTCCTACCGAGATATGATCGTCGAGACAATGTTATGTGCCGGTTACCCAAAAGGTGGCAAAGATGCCTGTCAGGTTCGTTTATCTCCACACACACTCACACCCCCCCCCCCTCCCCTCCCCTCCCCCTCGCCATTTCCCATATATCATCCTACAATTTGCTTACATTTCAAGCATATTTTTAGGGTGACAGTGGTGGCCCCCTAATGGTGCGAGATGGTTCGACCGTTTTCCGTTTAGCCGGCATAGTTTCTTATGGTTACGGTTGCGCCGCACCAAACACTCCCGGCGTTTATACGCGTGTTAGCAAATATTTGGATTGGATTTCAAGCAAGACACAAGATGCATGCTATTGTAGCAAATAAAAATAAATTTCAAAAATCTCTATAGAATAATGATCGCAATAATTTTATTTTAACACATACCTCAAATAAAGAACAATCATATTTCCTGTTGTACGCATAGAATGTAATAAAGATGCTTAAGTAAGCTACAATACATATACACAGTCAAATAGTATATATATGGTACGTATAGAGTATATAGAATGAAGGTCGTAAGGCACAAGACACTTTGTTAACAGGTGATAGGAATTCCAAGCATTTAAGCATAAAATGTTTATTGCAAATTCAGGCATTCTTAACACTATCGACAACAACAACAATATAAAGAAAAAATAATGAAAAGAAACTTTGTTGCGGAAATTTAATCAACAAACAGGGAATGGTTGTTAAAAATGCGATCGCACGAGAACAGCTCACATTTCGATTGCAGCACGGACGGACGTCCGTTATTGACGTCTGTCAATAAGTATACGGTTCTGTGCAAACGGAAGAAAAGCTCCTGTTTTTAGTCCTTGTCTCCGTGGCGAAAAACCGTGGGTGAGATCGGTGAATGGAAGAGAAAGATGGGTTAGTTGCTCATTAGTTGTACATTATAGCAGATCCAACGACAAAACCTCTTGCGCCTATATTCAATTGGTGATCCGACAATACTTGTATAATAAATGTCATGCCCACTTAATATTAAATTAGACGATAAAAATCGTATTCTTTTCCCTTTCCTCGTGGTGATGATCGGTATAAAAAATTTAACCGCGACCAGATAATATTAATTTGTGTTCCTCTGCAGCTAAACACTTTTTCATCCTGCCTCACTTGTGATCAATATAGATGTCTGCCCGCTGTTACAATCTTATCACTCTGTAAAAATGACTCCGTAAAAATTAATCAGCCGCCAATGAACTACGCAATGTTACTAGAATTTTGCACAAGCTTTGGCAGGTTCGCACTGATTTACTTACTGCACATGCTACTCTCTTAGTCAATGTAGTACAATGTAGTACGGCTGTTGAAAATGCTTTTGTGGCCTAAATACATATAATATATATATGTAATTTTCTTTTTCCTCATTCTCCCTTATTCTTAACTTGGCAATTTTAAGATTCCTTTTCTCTACTTTAGTTTTAATTACCTAATTAGGCTATAACCTTAAATATTACCTAATTCAGCTAAATCTATAGCCTGTACATGGGCTGTTTGTTTTCGACAGTGGAACAAGTCCAGTTTAATATGTATTTGGCAAGCACTATTGGCAAGCACTAATAGATATATTTTTAAGTTTATTATCCCATGGTTTAGTTTACAGTGTCAACGGTTTCATCTCTCAAAAAAAATACACATTAACATCATTGTTATGAAGCCTTGATCAAGGGATAATGCAAATATATTATTTTGGCAGATTTATTTACAACCTGTCTAATGCCTGTCTGTCCGCAAGCATTTTTTTAACCCGTTCGGCATTTATCAAAATGAATATCAAATGAATGAGATGGACTTCCATTTTCTCACAAATAGTAGAGAACGTAAATATGTTTGTTTGCCTGTAAATTGCTTACGAGCATATAATTTTTATTGTCTTAATTTTTTTTTTTTTTTTTGAAAACTGCACTTGCCCCACTTTCATATGTATATATGATTAAATAAATCAATCTTTACAAAAAAAGACTTAAGCAACAAACTTGAAATAATTCGATCTATGCATACGAAAACTACCATAGTGTTACCACTCATCACTGCAGACTTGCGATGCATTCGTTTTATCTAAGTCTTTGCAACGCACAAAAACGAGCTTCCGAGAGCATCAAATTCTCAACCTATCTATGATCTAAGTGTAAGTAAGAACTCTTTGTAATAAGAAAAACATGACTTAAAGGCTTTAAAGGCTTCAAACGCACAAGAATTGGGATTTTGAGTCATTGCTCATAAATTACAAAGCAAATGCACATATATATGCTATGGGTACGAGTGATTCGACCAAGTCACTTATTCTTATTTCTTTTATTTACGTTTAACACATATCGGTGATCGCTTCTATAATATATAGCATGTATAGGATAGTGATAGTTATTTGCAGGGAAAAAGTAAATTGTGTTTTGCCGTATGTTCTTGATGTGACTTGACGAGGGAAGAAAAAGAAAGCCAAAATTCGTTCAAAGCTGATAGATACACCATTTTGCTTTTGAATGTGCTATGTTTTTTTGATTTTATAAAGTATTCGATCAATTTCGAGCGTGTTTTTTATTTATATTTAAAAAGAAGAAAATAGTTTCTTTCTCCTATTTACACCCTACACTCGCCTGCACTCATCTACACTTTTACACTTGCTTAGCACTTACTGATACTGAAAATGAATAATAAAATTTAAATACGTTTTATGTATTGCGTTATCATTTATATAACGGACACAGTGTGTGCATTCACAAGACAAACGTGGTTTTTAGTAGTCTGCTTAAGAAACATGCATTCAATTGAACAACGTGCTGACCAATCGTATAGGCGAATATTTCAAAGTGATATTGTAAACGTAACGTAATAACGTAAACTTAATAAAGGAAAAAAGAAACGCAAAACTACTAAAATTGGCTTCGAAATCTTTCCAGTTTGCTTAACAAGCGAAGTTTGTTTTTTTTTTTTATTTTTTTTTTTTTTTTTAATATTTTTAACACATAATTACATTTTAAGAGATACTCTACTCGATGCCTGAAAATGGCTTCGACGCTCATCTATCATAATAAAATGTTAATTACGTTAATATAAACTGTTTTTAAATGTATTTCATTTCATTCATTATTTATTGTGTGCATTTTTACACATTTCCGCAACATATTATCGAAGCATAAAGGTGTACTTTATTATCATTACATTGCCTGTAAATCTGATCCTATCAACAAACAAAAACCTAGTTACCTACGTATCTATCCTTTTAACAACAAATTCCTGGTAAGGCATACGCCTTAAATAAAGGTGTGGCAATATTTTTAATAATATTGAAAATTTGTTTTGCCGAATTAAGTTGCATATCAGTGTCCGGGTACTTGAACTGCACACAGCCTAATTCCCAACAATTTTCATTCTTTTCATTTAGGTTTTTGTTTTTCTTTCGCAGATGATTTTCGTTCAGCTAACTAGGAGTTGTATACGACATTAACTCAGATCAAATTGAATGTGGTTTTTTTATTTATCATTTGTTTAAGCTACAAATATGGCTTAGTTGAAGCAGCGGCTTCGTGCAGAGCGCCCTTATCTAAAAGATGTCTGTCTGTACGATATTTGAACACCTAAATATATCGTTAATAACTTACCAAAGCATTTTGTTCTGCTCGAAAAAAAATTATCAAAAATCTGCTAGTCGATGCACTACTGAGTCGATTATTAAAAACGTTCCCTTTATTAAAGACCTTTGGCTAATTATAGCCAAAGAACTGAAATACGAAAAATACACTGTTGAAAATACACTGTTACATGCTACACTGAACATATTAATCTGAAATCTGTTCTGAACATGCTTTATATTAATTACGCCGATCACCTATCTGAGGGAGAATTGGGGAAGAAAAAGAAAACCCACTATTTTTATATATTTGCTTAAGGTAGTGTGTACCCAAAAATTTGCCGAAAGGCGGGTATAGCTTTCTTGCTTGTTTTTTTTTTTTTTTTACTTGGTTTTTTTAATATATACTGTGTTTATATTGCGTTTATTATCTTTCACACTGACCCAGTTTCGTACCAGCAAGTGCAACGAGTTGACTAACCAAACGTGTCTGTAATACAAATGTAAAGCAATGGAGCAACTCTCGTGAAGCTATTCCAGCGGAGCGACGACATTGACTTAAAGGCAAATTTTATGAATATTTTCTTAAAAACCGATTTTTTTTTTTTTTTTTTTCAAGTTATAATTACGATAATTTACAACACACATGCACCACTTAAGACCTTAAGCTAAACTTTTAAAGTAGAAATGAAATCAAGAAAAAAAAAATTATTAATATTATTAATATAAGAAAAAGTGAAGACATGAATAAAAAAAAAAAAAAAAAAATTAAATTTCTTAAGCATAGGCTTTCTACATACATATTATACATTATTTTATTAATTGTATCTGCTTGCTTGAAGCGTATATAAACCGCATTGGAGACGCCATTAAATACATTGATTATGATATAAAGTTAGATACTAAGTAAGTTGAAGTAGTAGTAACTGAACTTTCAAGTTTTCCTATTGCTGCAGTCAACGTCGGTTGGCTTTGGCTAGATTCGGTTAACAGCCACAAAACACAAAAAAAATCAATACATTTCTAATAAGAATTTTCAAGTGTTATCAACGCGATGAGAAAATTAATATTAATCGTGTTTCTCAATTTCGGATATAAGACGATACAGATTATGTTCGGCTTGGACGACGAATTTTCATAACTAGCACAGACACAAGATAACTTATTCCTTCACATACAGTTGATTATATATATTGCGCATATCAGTAACGGTAAAAACGAATATAAAAAATGTTTCATTCACAGGTAAAAAAACACAGGTTTGTTCTTCAAATACTTATACTATACTCATCTTTATAGTATGCGTGATGCACGCTGATTCTTAACTTTTTAGAGTTTGCTAACGCGACATACGTTTATTCAACAAGATCTTCGTAATGAAGACAGATCGATAATAAAACAAGTAAGAACATTATAATCGGGCAACGCCGACATTAACATATCCTAGAACCTTTTTAGCCGCGTGCAGTTATTCACACATTATTTTCATGCAAAGTCATAATTTTTGATGCAAGCCCGGATATTGGGAGGTCAGATTTCTTCGCCATATGACAATTTGGGTCTTAATAAGATAGACCTATGTGATCCAAGTTCACTACCGTTAATTATTTTTCTGAATTAATTTTCATCATAAAATTAGGCGTTTTTTTCGAAGGACTTACCATTCATTGGGAGTAAGCCCAAGAAATTGACCCATGTGGGTGAAATTAGCTCCACTTCATTTTTTATAGAATTCCTATCATGACTAAAATTTTTTCACAAACAAATTAACAATAAGTCTTTTTCGTCATATGAGGGTGCGGTGTTATCCAAGAAATGGGCCTATCTAGTCCATATTCGGTGAGGTGGATTACTTTGCCAATTGACTATTATGAGCCAATTTTCGCCATGAAATAT